GCATGCCCACCTCCACTGGGAAGGAGAGACAAAGCAATTGTGTTTTTCTATTTCTGTTCTCATCCCACCAGGACACACAATTAGGCAACACAGACAGCCACAGGGCACACCTCTGGGACAACATCTCTCATTACAGCCCCTGAATACTTGGCATTGTTTGAATTTCATGAATCCCAGATCCCAGCACTGGCCTTGTTCCCCAGTCTCCAGACGGTTCAGGTGATCCTGTCAGGAAGCAGGACCTGTATGACAATGAAGAAGCTCCTGGAGTTACCCTCTGTGACTCAGCTTCTCCCCAGTGTAATGTGGGTCCCTTGTGTGGCAGCAGAAGTGGGAACAAAGGACCCTGGACAGTGAGCTGATTGCAGGTGACACTCCAACGTGTGGAGATGCTTTGGGGAGCAGGTTACAGAGGCGGTGAGTCGATTGGGGAGTCCAAAAGGGGCCATGGTGTTCCAGTGGGGCTCATTGGAACCTTCCTGAAGGGAGGGTGTTCTAGGGCACAAGCCAGCACTGCAGATCACTTGTCGGAAATGTTCTCTGATGTCTGTGTTGAACGGGGGAGATTCTGAGTTCAGTCTCATGGAAAGGGAGAAAAGGGTCCTTTCCCAGAAGCTTCCTGCCTTTTGTGGGATGAGATTTCCTACTTAATATATTGTCATATTTATTTTCATTTTGCTGCATTCTTTTACTGAGTATAAGGTGGTCAAAGTGTTATTTGGAAATCTCATATTAATCAGTCATGCAAATTCCAAACTAATTAGTTCCTTACAGCGTGATCCCTGACTTGCTAGCATCATGGCATGAACTTGGGGGAAAATCTAGTGCAGTTATCAGATTTTGAGATCATGCCCATCTGTGCTTTGAGTCTACACATTCACTATGAGAAGAAACACACATTTAGGGACATCAAAAAACGGCTTCTGAACGTGTGAAAATCTTGTTGCATAGCAGGCCCTCCTTAAATATGGAAACCTGTCCGTTTCTTTTTATGTTCCAAGTGAGCTTCAGCAAATGTATCAGAAAAGTGACATGCAAGAAAAACTTTAGTACCAAACTAAAACAATGATCATGGAAACAGTTATTTTAGGATACAGTTTTGTATTCAATACCATATCACCATCAGTTATAAAAAGTTATTTTAAGGTATAAAAGTAAATTCTTTGAACTAAGAGAGTAAAAAATTAAATACAAATGTTTATGAGAACAACCTAGAAAAAATGTATCATCTCAAAATTACTTGTTTTCTATGGTGTATCAAACTGGCATAGCTTTTAATGGTGTAGGTAGTGGGTTTTGAAATCATTCTAGATTTCTGTGAGAACTTTGGCTTTGTCTTTAAAGACATAAAAATTAGATTGATTTCATGTAGTGACAGACAGAGGAAAATGAATACAGAATTATATATATATATCATATATATCTCCAATTTAGAAGATTGTGAAGTTGAATGAAGCCATCTCCTGAGGCTTATCTAGGAATGCAGGGCTGATCTTTGAAGGGAGAGAGAGTTGGATTCATTATCTCTAGATGATGCGCCATTGAAGATTAGAGACCCTCACTGTCTGTACCCAAACACAGCACAGATTCTCACAAGCCAATCTAGGTACTGTTTGTACATTTACATTATCTTTAGAGGCTTATCTTGTAGGGAAATAAATCATTTTGCTTTAGAAGGTAATGTGTCTGCTTTAAACATTTAGCAACCATAGCACTGTACAAAATAAATTTTTCCCTTAGATATTCTCAATTCAATAAGCAGTTAAATGAAAAAAGTTGTTAAGTATAGTAAGCATAATGAATGCAGCAAAATCTAAATACTTCCTGGGGGAATACTTTGCAAATACAAAGAGAGTGGTGAACTTAGGTGATCATCAGTACTCAAGATTCCAGGAGACTACTGAGACTGGAGATTCATATGCCGCCCCAGTTGGGAATGACTTTCTTTGCACAGCGCTCTCCTCAGGGCACCCTTGACCTCTCCGTTCCTCAGGCTGTAGATCAGGGGGTTCAGCATGGGGTTGAAAAAACTGTAAAACAGGAAAAGGACCTTCTGCTTCTCCTCAGGATGGCGGGATTTGGGGGCCATGTACATGACGATGGCGCTGCCAAAGAAGAGCCCGACCACGCAGAGGTGGGAGGAGCAGGTGGAGAAGGCCTTTCTGCGGCCCTCCCCAGACTGCATGCTCAGGATGCGCCAGCAGGATGCGCGACCGTAGGAGACAGCACCCAAGGCAGGGAGGTCCACCAGGATGAACACGAACATACGGAAACAGCAAAGATAACAAAACTAGGTTGAGCCGGGTGTCCAGCACCAGGCCAGCCTGGAGACAGACAGAAGTTCACAGAAGCAGTGGTTGATTTCATGAGGTCCACAGAAGGGCAGCCTCAGCATGAAGACCACATGGACCAGGGCCAGGAGGGACGCCACATGCCCAGGCAGTGACGGCCAGGACAGTGCACACTCTCCCAGCTCATGATGACGGAATATCGGGCAGGGGAT